CAATTTCATTTTGAAAAACAGCAGCAGGACTGTTGCTATCTCATGGCTCTGAAAGGTAACACTTTCTTACCTCTTACATCCTCCTGGGCTTCTGATTCGCTTGAGAAGAGGGTGCCCAAGTCAGGGTCAGGAAATGGGCCTTGTTCTGGAGCTGGTGCACCTGTGTCCAAGCATGCAATGTCATCAAATCCTCCAGGGGGTGGCAAAGGAATGGGAAAGTCTCCTGGAGGAGGGCTGACGAAAGTATTCCCCTCACTCCTGCAAGATGCGAATAACAGTTTGATGATATGACATAGAGCTGAATTCAAAACTAAGAGTGAGGAAGTGACAGTTAAGTTCAATAACAGCAGAAAAGCAGTTTCATTTGCCAATTTCCAGCATAAGATATAATCAATGTAGAAATACCATCACAGACACTCTGTGGTCACTAACAACTAACCTCAGTACCCAAACAAAATGTTGGATCAACTCAGCCTCCTGTCCAATGGGTATTGGAGGTTTGTCGTCTAGGGATATGGCAGTTGGGGCATGAAACTGTCCATTCACCTACACCTAGTTCTAAGTTTAAGAATGCACAGAGCTATACCTAAAATCCCCCATGTGTATTCATGGGACTTAATCATGAAGAAAATTTCACCTTCACCTTTTACACTATGGCGTGACCCTCCTTTACTTCACTCATATACATGAATGACACACTGAAAACTGAATCTGCTACGTCAGTTACTCTTTCTCTTTAAGCCTTTGAAATGAGTTTTAAACACATTCTGTGAAACTGCCGAGTTCAACTCTATATGTTCATCTGCCTCTCCACATACCCACATGTCCTCTAATTCAATGGCAATAATATTACAAGACCCACTGTTTTGACAGCAGCATGATAACTGTTAACTCCCAACCATGAGTTTACTTTTAAAACTCTTTAAAATTAAAAACCACATATCAGTAAACTGATTTAAAGGAATAAAAGTGAAATCAGTGTTTGAACTTTGGGTATTTTCTCAACACATAAGACTTAAACTTCAGCACAGTCTGAAGTCTACTATGACACCACAGCAAGACTGGAAAGCTGCAATGTGTACCACAGGACACACAGTTTCCACACATACAGAGTGGGGCGCAGAAACTTCCTTTTCTTGAAGGCGAATAAAAGAAAAATTATTGCTGATAGACAAAATTTATGTTTAGCTAATGAAAGAACATACTTTAAAGTTTTAAATCATGTGGTTTTAAACAAACTATCTTGAAGGTGGAGGCCACCATTCTCTATGCACTGATGCAACCGTTTCCTGAAGTTCTCCTCTGCACGTTCCAACATGTGCACCGGAATGTGGGCTACTTCCTGCCGAATAACATTCTTCAGCTTAAGCAGGTTTGTGGGGCGATGTTTAAAAACCTCTGCCTTGAGGTATCCCCATAAAAAAAATCACAGGGCGTTAGATCAGGTGAGTGCACTGCCCACAGGATGTCACCTTGAAGCGAGATGAGCTGTCCGGGAACTTTGCCCTCAAAACTGTCATCGAAGCTCGGGCTGTGTGGGCCATGTTACCATCCTGTAGGAACCAGACATTTCCTAGATGCATTTCTTCAAGAGCTGGTTCAAAAAAGATCTCACAATCGAATGTCGAACTGCCTCCACATTTTCTGGCGTCGTAACGGTCCGATGTCGTCCTGATGATTT